CCTTCTCTTTGCTGCTCTTCCTTTTAAATCCTATCTCTTCTCATGCTGGGGGAGAACTTCTCTTTGCAGCTGAGTGCCTCTTCCTGTAGTGCTGGCTCAGGTTGCAAGCCTACACACAGACACCATGCATCCATTCCAGAGACAGGGCAGTCTGCTGCAAAACAGAAGTTCTGCCCAGCATGAGAACAGATACAGATTTAAAAGGAAGAGCAGCAAAGAGAAGGGAAACAACCATGGATTACAGTAAGGCACACATTACAGTATTGTTTTATGTTAAAAAATCTGAGGGTTTAATGTCACTTTAAGTTTAACAAAGACAGCAGCAGTTGGTGCAATAGCTGCAAAAAGAGGTGTCAATGCAGTCAAATCCAGGAAGAAGATCCTTTCCAAAAAGTACACAACAATGTCACTGCAGGAAACCAATGCTGATGGGCCAAACAAAAAAATGCAGGCAAAAACACACCGCAACGCATAATGAAAACATGCTACAATGCATGGTAAAACAAAAATCAGGCATAAGAGAATACAGATAGATGTGAACCTAGACTCATGCCTGTTCAGTAGGATGTAGCCAGAGCATGGCCTCAGATTTAAAATCTAACTTGTGCCCTCTCTCTTCTGTTTCATTTTCTCTCCCTTACACCCATCTGTGTGTTAATAAAATGAAATCTTTAAAAAAAAGTGGAATACTAATTTTAAAAAAATTGAAAAATGTCCTTATTAAATAACTTGGGACAAAATCAATGGTGCATTGTTCATTACAGCAACAAGACATGCTCATTATTTAAACTCCAAAAACCTAATGAAAGTGACAGTCTGTTGGCTAAGGGCCACAGCACACCATTGCCCTTGGCACTTTGCTGTTAGGTAAAACCAGTTCCAAGTTAAGATGGTACTACTTCACTAAATTGCCTCTTTCAGGGAATATGCGCGAGATGGTGCAATTATGGTCTAGTATGTCACAGAAAGGCTTTCTACAAATAGCAAGTTTAAAGGATAAGTGCACCTTGTGATACAAATAAAATGTTATATTGCTCGCCTTAGCTTAGATTATTTGCCATTATCCATACAAGTATAACTGTTACACACCACATGCCTTCAGTTCATGTGCAGAGAATGTACACACAGAAGGCCTACAGAAGGAGGCGGTTTCAAAGCCAGATTGGCTTAGGTCATCCCATGTGACCTCTGCCAACAAACTGTAAGCAACATTTTAGAAGCATGCACATCTAAGCGGGTGCTAAGGGTCCAGAGACATGAAGAGAATGAAAAAAAGGTTATATTTGCAAACTTGCCTGGATATATAAAAAAAAATAATGTGTTTAAACAGTGCATCTATCCATTAAGATTTCACTCGCAAAAGTCCAGATAGGGATATAGCAAGCATAAGTTATTCGTTTTCAATATTTATTTAATTTTTTTTTTTTTTTTTACACAAAATGATTGTAAAAATCAGGTCCAAGTTTGATATTTTAATTAAATGAGACAAGAAACCATTTTAGAAATAGCACAGTAAAGCAATCTTTCAGACACACACATTGGGTACAATTAGTGGCATTCATGCTCGGTTTTGCCCAGGAAAGAAATTGTATGTAATGTTCATATTAACATATTTTGTCCCTTACATGACATGAACAGCAGACTCATCAAAGGAAAAGTGGTTGCTGGTAGCTAAAAATTGTAAAAAAAAAAAGTAAAAAAAAAAAGGGATTAAAAACCAAAGATGGTTCAATCATTTTTAAGAGGATACTGCAATATGAGCAATTAAAACAATTGTATTTTCCCCCCTAAATGTCTACCAACAAAAATGTAAGTGATGGGATCCAAATAATATGTTCCATACATTATATTTGTGGACTACCAATGACCATGCTATTACTAGAGACTGTAATAGTACTGTTACCCTTAGGTTGCTCTTAATGCTTTTAAAACCACAGGATTGAGTGTTCTTTACAATATCTAGAAGAATAAGTCGGAATGCAAATTTCCAAGCAACAGCCTTATGCTTTCCATTGTTACTACAGAGATAGTGACAATGGGAAGCAACACGCACACACTGGCACTTAAAATCTACCTAAATTTTAACTCCTATTTAATTCTATGCACATCAGTGCATTGTGATGTGTAACAGCATTTTTGTTTAAGAGGACACCAACACAGAGAATTGAAGCAATAGGATATAAGACAAATTGCCTTGTGTATGCGTTGGGCAAAGTTGGTCAACGCAGTCCAACGGGGCTTGGTGTGAACAAGCTCTGAATGCACATTGGTTATGGGAGGGGGGAATGGATCATTTCCCAGCATCTAACAATGGAAAGTCTACAGGTGAAACTCGAATAATTAGAATATCGTGCAAAAGTTCATTTATTTTCACTAATGCAGCTTAAAAGGGGAAACTAATATATGAGATAGACTCATTACATGCAAAGCAAGATAGTTCAAGCCGTGATTTGTCAGAATTGTGATGATTATGGCTTACAGCTCATGAAAACCCCAAATCCACAATCTCAGAAAATTAGAATATTGTGAAAAGGTGCAATATTCTAGATTCAAAGTGTCACACTCTAATCAGCTAATGAAGCCATAACACCTGCAAAGGGTTCCTGAGCCTTTAAATGGTCTCTCAGTCTGGTTCAGTAGGAATCACAATCATGGGAAAGACATCTGACCTGACAGTTGTGCAGAAAACCCTCATTGACACACTCCATAAGGAGGCAAAGCCTCAAAAAGGTAATTGCAAAAGAAGTTGGATGTTCCCAAAGTGCTGTATCAAAGCACATTGAAAGTTATGTGGAAGGGAAAAGTGTGGAAGAAAAAAGGTGCACAAGCAGCAGGGATGACCGCATCTTGGAGAGGATTGTCAGGAAAAGGCCATTCAAAAGTGTTGGTGACTTTCACAAGGAGTGGACTGAGGCCGGAGTCAGTGCATCAAGAGCCACCTCAAATGTCGTATTCCTCTTGTCAAGCCACTCCTGAACAACATCCGTGGGATTACTGTGCCTGATTGGCCAGCAAACTCGCTTGACCTCAACCCCATAGAGAATCTATGGGGCATTGCCAAGAGAAAGATGAGAGACATGAGACATGAGTTTAACATATAGAATACATTTAGGTAGAAAAATGACCTAGCTTGGCAAATGTTTGGAATTTAACTAGGTAGTCTACTCACTATTGTCTACCTAATTACAACTATAGGGCACTCAATTACACTACCTAATTACAACCAAAGTATATTTTTCAACATGTTTTGTAACAGCCCATAGAGAATCTGAAATACCAGGTTTGGGTAGATGTTGGCGGCATGAATCAACCATCAGTTTCCTATTTTTACCAAGGGTTTAGGGGACAAAAGCTTTGCAGATGAGTTGCCATATCAACATATTTTTGGGCAATAAAGATGTTGATCTCATGCTCTCGCTGTTGGATGATTCAGCCCATTGCAGTGCACTCATTTCTTTAAGCGGACTGAAGCTTTAAGAGGAACCACCAACAGTACAGCTTCTAATGTAATACAGTACTCAAAGGACTGCTGGAATTAATATGACATGCACGTCACTGATTCTACAGCCACAGTTTAGCTACTGTAATGCTTGGAAACTACAAGAGCACTTATGCAGGTTATTTGGGTAATGCATAGGATTTCCTTTTCTAAATGTTCATGAAATAGATAACACCATCATCTGTAATTTGGATCTTTGGCTGTAATGTTGATATACAAAGGATTGGATCCAAAAACGAAACTTTTACAAGATTAGGGATTTTTCTTTCATCTTCACTAAAAAGCTATTTTATTTTTGGTCAATAAACCTGTTCCATCTTTTCCAGGCACACTTCACATGAATTCAACTCAAGGGTTTTGCCGAAATTTTGCATGGTGAAGGCACACATCTATTTGGGTTAGCATCAACAAGTTATTCTAACCCAACAAATTTAATGATTATTGCAATCAAATGTGAAAAGTATATAAAAACTGGAATGGATATAAATACATTCAGAATGTAGACCAAACCAGAGCCCAAAATAAAGGCAGATTTGGCCCTTAACACATTTAAGCTTTGCAACATTATCTACCAATGGTATTAAAGAGGACTTAAATCACAAATAAATAAAAAAATATATATGCAATTAAATAGTCATAAAAGTACCTCGAATTTTGAGAAAAGAAATGCAACATTGGCCCATAATTACAGATTTCTATGGCTATTAATCCAGCAAGGCCCCACACTGCCCTCATTTCCTTGCGAGACCTAAAGCAAAACAGGCCAATGTATACAACTGAACAAAAAGTAATGTGTGGGTGTTGCCTCCACAGCAGCCAATCAGAAGCTTGCTTTCATACAGATGACAATATCCATTACAAGGTTCAACACTCCCACTTTCCTTTCAGTTCTGATGCTGGCATCTAAAGTAGCATTTCACAAGAAGAAAGCATGCAACATTTCCAGTGCTGACAGTTACACATCCTAAGCTGTAAAAAAAAAAAAAAAAAGTCATTACTCCAATGGCAATAACTATAACCTGAACTCATAGTCCCCCCTCTCCCTTTAGCTCCATAATCAAACATTATCATTGTACCTTTTTTCTATTTTATATAAAAAAAATGGAAAAAGGCATGAAATGAAACAGCACATAGTTAATAATGCTTTATCAATGTTCACAGGATAAATAGAAGTGCACATACATTATAAATGGCTGTGTAGAGAAGACGCAAGTCATTGTTACAAATGTGACAACATTGGAAAGTATTACTCCTGAATACACGTGTACATTAACTATATTACATTACTGTTATTAAAGACAAAGGTTGTGTTTACCCTATGCTTAAATACAATACCTACCATGATATACAGGTCTCAAAGGCTTCCAGTTTTTAGTGCTGGGCAAACAATAAGTGACAACAACTGTTATTGTAGAATGTGGAAGCTCAAATGAGGAGCATCCTATCCGTAAGTTACAGTTCTCCAGGAGGTCTAAGGGCTAAGTGCACAAAATTAGTTTTCTTTCAAAACATTTGTTTTTGAAGACCTCCTCTAACACAATAACGGTGTCCTATATTACAATGAAAAGGTGTTTTTTCTAATGTGTAGCGATGAAACATTTGACACACAAAAGGAGCCATCGCTGAAACGTAAACATGGATGAGTGAAGTTTAAATAAAGGAAAGTCATTTGAAGTTCTCTTCCGATGAAAGGTGAGATGCTTCTATCCATCCTGAAGTCGGTTCATATCCAGTGCAGAAAATACCACAAACTGTGGCTGTTCAGTTATTGTAAGTACCGGTAAACCTTGAAACAATGGTTTCCAGAGTCTGCTACAACAACATGACCATCTGATGTCAGGGCAAGTCCCTGTGGCCCATAGAGTGGGTCGGCAGAAGTATTGATGTAGGATAAAAATGATCCACTCCCATCAAAAACCTGAAGATTTAAAAAGAATTAGATATAAAGAGATTGTTCACTTTTAGCCTGGGGTGTTCTTATGGAAGGGCGTAGTATACTTATAGTTTAAACTTGAACTCCAGTTAATTTGGCTGATGAAATACAGTATATAGGTAGTGTTTAACCTATCAAAAGGAATTTGTAATTCTCTGCAGTCTTGTAATTTAGCCAACCCTGTCAGGACCTCCACTGTAACTATAGTACTACAACAGGACACAGACATCCCCCCACTTATTGATTGGATACTAACAGAAAAACAGCACACTGATTAAGCCACCCCCTTGCTCAACCTGATCTCTCCAGCTATCAGCATGTTCACTGCCCACTAATGTGCTCTGCCACCGATCCTCCCTCTTCCAGTTATTCTGTATAGTGGAGAACAATAGGCTAATATCTACACTGATTCTAGTACTTAAACTATAAAAAGGTTTAAATACATAAAAATGCCTTTATCAATTAATAACTGCACCAACTGTTTTTACATTTGCCTTGAGCTCAGCTTTAAAGTGACACTATGCATTCAAATACCTTAGTTAGTTACAAAACTGCATTCAAATACCTTAGTTAGTTACAAAACTGAATCTATATTTCATTGCTAATGCAAGAAATGTATGCAACAATAAAACTGTGATATAAATAGGAAATCTCAGCCTATGTCTACCCAAAGAAAAGGTCAGTGCATCCGCCTTGCAGTATACTTGCAAACCTGTGACACCACCTTAGGTGCAGCAAAACTGACATTTCTAAAGAAACAAAACGACATTTTTATTTTTTTAAAGCGTTCGGTTCCCCCACCCAAACAATACCAGACCCTTAAGGTCTGGTAGGATTGTTAGGAGGGACCCCATAAAATAAAAAAAATAAAATAGCATGGGGTTCCCCCCAAAGGTTATACCAGGCTATTGAAGGGGGGACGTGGGGTTCCCCCTAAAATTGGTTGTGGGGGTGCGGGCAGGGGGCTTATTCACATCAGGGCACCCAGATGCGCCCCTCCTTGTGAATGAGTAAGTGGGTACTTTCACTAAAGGGTTAAATAAAAGAATAAAAACACCAGACTTTAATCAAAAATCCTTTATTTGAATCAAAAAAAAAAACCCACAACCCACAAAAGGATTTTTGACAAGTCCTTTAATTAAAAAACACCCCCCAAAAATGGATCCACCGACGTAATCCAGGGTCAATCATGACGTCCAGCATTGTCCACAATGATGACTCGACGAAATAAAAAAATATAACAAAAAATGTTTTTAAAACATCGACCGCCGTCCCGCCGCTGAGACGAACACCCGACGCATAATAGCATTGTGGCAGATGCCTGCAACTTATAAACAACTGGGCGGAGCCATCACTGACAGCTAGCTCCGCCCAACTGTTTACAGTTGTAACAGTTGAGCCATGATTGGGCAGAGTCATCATGCCCAATCATGTCTCTCACAGCTCTCTGTGCCCTGATTGGGCAAAGGCTTGCACCTGACCTGTGGTCAGGTGCAAGGCTTTAGCCAATCAGGGCTTCAGAAGGCGCATTGCCTTAATGGGCGCTCGGCTCAAACATCAAACCCAACCCTAGTTTCAACTATTTCAAGAGCTTCAGCCCTGTTTACATCATAACCCCACCTTACTGCACAGCTCTGTCTGTTTAATTACCAGAACACAATAATGTAGGCCATCACTGCCATAGAATCAGTGTGGAATAGGATCATTTATGAGCAATGACATGTGAACTCAAATAAATATTTTTTTTTTTATACAGGTAAGAGTCATTTTTATTCACATTTATATATCTCAGTGCTGTTCTTTGAGATCAAGAGACTGAAAACGTTGGCCCTTGGAGACCAGATTCAAAGCATGAAAGCCAGAATATTGCTCAGGACAATTTAGGGAGAGCTTGCATGCTGGGTTTGTATTAACTACCCTTGTGATACATGCTCCAATCTAATTTACATCCATGCTCCAAATCTCATTTACATCCATATCACTGTATGAATATATTAAGACAATGTCAGGGCCAGCCATCTGGAACATTCAGAATCTAAAGATGTTTAGAAGATGCCAATCATCTTGTTATCAGAATATTTTTCTATTCTCATTGCCGGTTTCATCACATTTGTTTATCATATAACAGATATGTACAGAATGTTATGTTTCTAGAAATCACAATCATTATCTTACAGAACTTACTTGTATTCTGCTGTTTCCCCAGTCTGCTACAATGATATTTCCATTGGAATCTACAGCCACTCCTGTTGGTGCATTAAACTGTCCATTACCTTCTCCATTTGAACCAAACTTCAAGATGAACTCGCCATCTTGGTTAAATACCTGGAAATATTTAATTACAGTAATGTTTAAAAAGAGAGCCTCGAAAAGGTTCACATACTAATGTATACTATTCTCTTAAATGCAGGCATTCTATGTGTCCTTCTCAAAAAGAATTGTTAAATTGGTTGAAGCACCAGTTGTACCCCAGTTAATGAAGGCACCCTCTTATGATCAAACTCGTTATCATTCTGTAACTACTGACAAAACTCCTGACAAATTCCTGTCTCAGAGTGATGATGTAACGGCAGCTCACTATTTAACCCTCAGCTTGTCGATTCAGTCTTCACCCTTGCGTGTTCTGATCTATCAAGTGCTCTGCAGTTGTTCCTGTTCTCGGTGTATGACCCTGGATCTGGCTGAGTAGTCTCCTGGTTCCTGACTTTAGCTATTTTTTCTGTCCATCCTGCTCTCAGTGTTCCCTGACCATGTTCAGCTGACAACCTGCTTTGGCATCTGAACCCTGGCTTGGTATTGATGACATCATGGACTTTCGCCATTGTTTTTTGCCATTTATATTTATTGTAGTTTTTATTAATCACCTTTTATTTTTTAAACCTGCACTTTAAGTTTCTGTCTGGTTTCTTTGTCCCCTAACACCCCCTTCATTTGACGTTTATGCGAAGATGTCATTACAGAGTAATACAGGTCCAGATTTCCATTGTATTACAGCATCTCGATTATATTAATCATGCACCTAACGACCCTACATTATCCATAGATACGTAGGGTCACTAGATGTACTTTATCATTCATTTGAACAACTGTGCAAATGGTTTCTTAATATTACTGTCATAATGTACACATTGAGGATATCAATAATTAGTGGAAAAGTAGGACAGGCTAGGCTTTTTGTGTGTGTGTCCTACCCATGTATGCCAACAGGAGTACACTTATTTGATTATATTAGGTATTTAAAACTCTTATATTACATGACCTGTACACATTGGGGCAGCTCAATAAAAATTCAATTACCCAACTGAATCCCAATTGTGAATATACAGTAAAGTTATAACTGTGGTAATATCACACAAAGAGGAAGACAATTCCTGACCCTGTAATGACTGCACAGAATTTCATACAGCAATCTAATAGAACAACAAGAGTGCTGGGCAAAGTCCTGCAAGACATTTTTTTTTGATGAAGAAAACACCAAAACATATGTGGTGGGACTTTTAGACGGGGTTGAAGGACTGGGGAAGTATTTCAGAATGGCTTTGAGATGAACCTGTAATTTCGGCTACTTCTCAAACAACCTAAAAAATGGTAGGAGAATTTCTGAAACAAAGCCTACAATTTTTGTTGTATGTGTGGATTTTTAAAATGACCTGTACTGACACAGAGGTTATCCTTGCTGCCCTTCTGAAAATACTGGTTGGGAGGCTGTCACATGTATCCAGTGGTTGCAACATTTTTTAAAGAAGAGCTCTAGAGAAAATGATTATTAACCCTTGCAGTGAGGCTACACCCACACTGCAAGGGTTAAACGCTGCGTTTATGAAGGAAAATAAAAAAAGAAGTTCTGCTCCCCTGATCCTCTAAGCCGGCTTGCTCTTGGCCCAGTCTGGAGCCTCTCTCCCCCTCCTCTGCAGCGGTCTAAGGTCCCGTAAATCATCATGTTCGATACACAGTGTATTGGACATGAGGATGTAGAGGGACATTCCATCTCTGCAGTGTAGGAGTACACAGGCTGGATAGAGCTTTGTCACAACTGGCTTGCTCTGAGGGTCAGGTGAGTATAGCTTTGTTATTTTCCTCCATGGACCAAAATGAGCACTTAACCCTTGCAGTGCATGGACAGCGTGGCTGCAAGAGTTAATAACAACTTTCCCTGGAGTTCTGCTATAAGTCGCTGACACGTATGTCAATTAGAAAGCCAATGTGAACTCGGGGCTCTTAAAGTTCTTCAATCAAAAAAACAGTCTTGACCAGAGCAGTCAGATTGCACCGACAAGGCAAACTGCCTTGTTTACTAAGAAATCAGTTTGCTGAAAAAAAGCACAAAAAAATTGGAGTTACGTACCTGGTAACTCTGTTTCTAGGAACCTTCCAGGACAGCATTAGAGAGATAGGCTCCTCCCACCGGAACAGGAAACACATCACCCACACTTAGAATAAAAAGGAGCACAAGCCTAGCACGCCTCAGTTAAAACATAAGAACCGAAGGATACCATAGTGCAACTCGTTCATAGAATTATAGATACATACACACATATATACACATTTCACTGCGGTACTTTGTTCACCGCAGCATGTTGCAACACAGTACACTGCATCACAATGTGCTGAGGTCTAAAGAACTGAATGAAATGCCACTCTGTGACATTTCAATAAAGTTTGAAAAAAAAGGTAAACTGATATCAGTGCATTAATCCGCTTACCTAACATTACACACCAGCAACTGTGCGCGCTACTGGTATGAATGGACCCTGAAACTACATGACCATGCCATGCAACTTGAATTATCTAGATTTCCAATGGCAGCATCCATCAAATAGAATTTATTTTAACTAAGGTAACTAAAAACAAACAAAAATAAATAAATCTATAGCATAACATATTTTAACCAAGTAGCATAAAAGCATACCATGTAAAAAATCAAAAAACATGATCTGCATCCATTAACAGGATGAAAGCATCAGTAATACTTTGTATTGTTGTATTCAATACTTTAGTATTGAACAACTGTGCAAATGGTTTCTTAATATTACTGTCATAATGTACACACATAGAGGATATCAAGTGGAAAAGTAGGACAGGCCCAATAAGTCTTCAGAGTAACAAGTAAAGAAAATACCTTGACAGAATGGTTATGGAAGTCGGTTACAATTATTTCATTGTTGCTGTTCACAGCGGCAAAGTGAGGCCCTAAAGAAACAATTGTGAAACAAAGAATGACTATAATTACAACAGGTCCAAAGTTTGCTACATACAGAAGAAGCTGTCATTTTGCAGTGGAGCTGTGAAAACGCATACATTTCTGATCACACACAGACAACTAATCCCACTGGCATAACACGTTATGTTAGCAGGTCATACATAAACACACGAACATACACCATCTCCTACGGCTGTGAACTAGAAGTCAGGATTAATCCTGTGATAGGACAGCCTTCACAGCATGTGATTTCCCGGAAATAAAAATGTCTGCGTATTGGTAGACCTTGGACAGTCATTTACAGATAGAAGTAATATGTTCTAGCATGTTCTAGCAAATGATTAGACATGTGCACCAGCAAAAAATTTGTTTCGATTCGGATTTTGCGTTACTTAGTTTTTCGGGATTCGGGTCCGAAAGTCAATTCGCTTTCGGGATTCGGATGCGGACTAAATTAGTTAGCGGTAGTCTGTACGAAAATTGGTTTCATTACGTTCGTGGCAGCAAAGACATTTGAGGGAAAAAAAATCTTTTTTTTCCCCTCAATGCAACGGAATTTCGTCCAACAAACGAAATTTTTAACAGACTACCGCTAACAAATTTCGGAATCGGAAATTCGTATTCGTTTGCATTCGTTATATCTATAATTCGGATACATCAAAATGTCCAAATTTCGATTCAGAACTAAACGAATCGCACATGTCTACAAATGATGCACATCTCAAGATTTAGTACGCTATGACAGGACATTATTTCACTTCTGTGAAATCTATACTGAGAGAGATATGTAGGCGGATACTGCCATCCTCTTCTTCTGACAAATACTAGTGGTGTGTCAGCTGATCCTATGACTAACCTACATTGACTTAGCCAATGACCCAGAACAGGTATGTAGATCAGAAGGGACTTCACTGCATGCATGTGTCTTCGTAAGTCTACAACTCAAAGTATTAAACCAGACACAGTAAGGCAACTGGTATTTTTTAGAAGGAGGTAATTAATGGCTGCCCTGCACGTCTCCTAGTACATGTTTTCTTTAAGTATTTTCTGAGTATTAACTGAGTTTGGAGCGGTGGCTACTTTACAACTCACACGGGGATCATGGGTAACAAAAGTACCCATACTCCAGAAGGAAGGACAGTGTCAGCACCAATTCAGAGATGATTTCAGGATCTACAGCTGAGTGATACACAAGATAAATTTTTAGTGTCACTTTAATAAAAATAACCTATAAAATGTCTTGGCAGCATCAGTACAGTGGCATGCAGTCCAACCCCCAATCCTCATGTAGAAAACAAAGTGATAGAAAGGAGATGTCAATTTGTTGGCTTACCAACATGTTTTAGGTTATTTTAATTACTACATTTGGGGAAGTACTTGTTTTTGTTTTATTTGTTTAAAAAGACTTTTCACCAAACCACTAAAATACACAATTCCTAGGTAAAATATTGGGCTGATTCAGGAATGGGGACTGTAATTCCTGCGTGTGCTATGCAGCAGAGATCAGCAACAGTTGACTATATGCTGCTTCTATTTTGATGAATGTATGTCAAGACCTCAATCTTATCCTGAAACAAATATGTGCATTGTCAAGGTTTCTCCATGCTTGACTACAGAATGAAAGCCCTTCTTCTCAGCCAAAGATGGCACAAAGGCAGAGGACTTCACCCAAGTGACAGACAATATGTCACACGTGTGTATTATATAAGCCATCACAGTGACTAAAGTACAGGAGAAGGTTGTGTGCATGTTATCATGAAGTGTACCTGCAAATTGCTTGTCTCCATTTCCTCGAGTACCAAACCTGGTAACAATTTTCCCATTGGGCTGAAAGATGAACACACAGCATGCTTTGTTGTCTACCACTATGATGTGTCCATTGCGATCTACTGAAACACCTTTAGGACCCATCAATTTTCCTGATCCAATTTTTGTCTGTTATAAAAGAAAAAGATAATTACCACCAATGAAGTACATAATAGTGCAAACTTTTAGGACAGCATTAATATTATAATGATATGAACTTCTACCTTAAACTTGCCATCAGATGAGAATATGCTGACCCACTTGTTGTCATAATCTGCTATGATAATATCACCACTTGGGTGCACAGCAACCCCTGTTGGCCTCTGTAATTGGCCTGGTGACCTTCCTCGAATGCCAAAGCGGCTTTTAAACTGCCCATCGTTTGAAAAGATCTAGGAAACAAAAATAAATAAATTAGGACTAGTATGCAATTTCTTTTTCTTTGCTTATTAATCTAAATTTTGTTATTTTGTCTTTACACATACAGTTGCAGTGAAAATTGATCCATATATGTATAAATGCATTATAAATACTGTAGACTTCTATCCTACGATGGTCTAGATTGTCTATGGAAAAACCAGCTTAAAAAAAAAAAAATCTATCATGCATCCAGGGACAGTGATCTATTTCAAACCACATGTAACTGTATCACGTACAATTACATGCAGACTGCCGCTTACAGATGCGGAAGCTATCACCTGGTCATTAACGTGAATGGGTGCCAGCGACCACTTCTTAATTAAATATTTGGGATTCCCAAATTGCACATTTACACTCAGTGTAAATGAAACCTCAATCTTTTGGAGGTCAAGCAGTGGCGTAACAATCGCCATAGCGACCCAGGCAGCCACTATGGGGCCCGGGCACAGGGGGGCCCGGCCAGGACCGCCTGGGTTGCTATAGCATGTGGGGGTGCTGGCTGTCACAGACACAGCTCAGCAACGGCGCATTTCCCCTCATAGCCGCTACGGAGCTGTGTCAGTGACCGCCAGCCGCTGCGGCAGATGAGAGGGGTGTTCGGAATTGAGGAGCCGGGGCCCGCCGCCT